CTTCTACAATCAACATGTGTCTCTCTTCCCATGGCTCTTCACATCAACATGTGTCCCCTCTTCTTCCATGTCTCTTTCTACATCAACCGATGTGTCCCCTCTTCTTCATGTCTCTTCCAGTCAACATGTGTCCCTCTTGCTCATGTCTCTTCACAGTCAACATGTGTCCCCCTCTCTTCATGCTCTCTACATCAACATGTGTCCCCTCTTCTCATGTCTCTTTTCTACATCACTTGTGTCCCTCTTCTCATGTCTCTTCCTACATCCAACATTGTCCGCCTCTTCTTCATGTCCTCTCTACATCAACATGTGTCCCCGTCTTACTTCATGTCCTTCTACATCAACTTGTGTCCCCTCTCTTCATTGTCCTTCTACATCACACTGTGTTCCCTTCTTCTTCATGTCTCTTCTACATCACTTGTGTCCCCATCTCTTCATGTCTATTCTAGCATCAACATGTGTCCTCGTTTCCATGTTCTTCTACATCAACATGTGTCCCCTCTTCCTCCATGGTCTGCTCTTCTACATCAACATGGTGCCCCTCTGTGAAAGAGAAGCTCTGAAGAGTTTCAGGAACAAAGATTCTCTCTCTTTTTGATCCATTTCTATAAAAACCTGTCTGAAAATGAGCTGATCAGATTTTGGCCACTTTATGATGTCATAACGATGTTTTGTCTTGAGTAACCATTAGCCAATCAGCAACCAAGGTAAACCCCCCCCCCCTCCCTCCTTATCACCTGAATCTCCTCCTAGAGCACCATTGAGTTCTTTTTAACCAAATGTCTCTCAGAGGGGCGTGGGGAGGGGCTCCTTATTTTCATCTAAAGTAACAGACAGAGAATCAGCACTTTGGAAACAGGGCTGAAACAGAGGGGATTATGGGTAATGCTGCAATGATCTGTTTGGTGTTTCAGCCAATCAGAGACAGGCTCTGTATATATCTGAGACCTGTGATATATTGATGACAAACAGTATGATAGGGGACCTTTAATGCAGGTCAGAGTTGTATTCGTCCTCTTTGGCTCGCTGCTCACTTCTTATTCCAGCCCTGGTTGCTCTCGGCCTCCTGGTGAGGTAACCTTTCAGATAGATTGCACTTCTCACAAATTTGGCACAAAAAACAGTCTCTGGATTGCGTTCAGCCGCCACACAGTGTCTGAGCCGGGCTGTCATCCTCAGGCAAGACGGAGCATATACACTCGGGGAAAACATGGTTTCCAAGCACGTAAACAGTTCCTGCACCAAGAGATTAAAATACCAGCCTCTATCTACCATCGAACCCTCAAACAACACATCTACGTTTGGCTTTCACACAACAATGAAGAGATTAGTACATCTTCATTCAAGTGTGCATGTTTCTGCAACATATACAAACGAATGTGGTTCATTGCAGTCAAGGGAAATCATTATTTACACCCCACTGGTGAAGCTTTCATTATATCCTGAAGGTGTTTTTACTTGTTTTACGGTCTCTCTGTAATTAACCATGATCTCCTTGCACTGTCATGTCACCCTAACTCTCAGCCAACACTTACAACAACACACAGAAACTGAAAGTGTTGATTATGATGGAGCCACACCACTTTAAAAGAAAACCCACACAGCGCCTCGGAGCACAAACACTTCTGAATTAGCACGGTTTTGCAATAGTGCACCTGTGCTAATATTACAGTGAAGTATTTATTCACAAACCTCAAAAGAATCCAGACACATTTGCACGTCTCAGACTAAGATTAGCACTCTCCTTTCTTTCCACAAACAATTTCCTGCACAAACATGTGTATAGCGCAGTGTCTTGGAATGAGACGAGAGTAAACACGGTGACTGAGAAGGACCCGACATTGTGGGATCTATCTTGATTTGTGGCGAGACCGCGCCGTACCTCTTTCACCAGCGAGAAGAGATTATTTAGACGAAGGAGCTGCAGCTTGGCAGCGCTCTGATCTGCAGTCTGATCTAGAATTAAACGGCGGCACGGTGACAACCACCGAGCTGCACGGAGAGAAAGGACTGCCGTGACAGGGTGTTGTTCTACTGAAGAAGTTTGATTCGCTGCTTCCTCAACGCAGACATTTTGTTCAAACATCAAAACGTTTTGCTCAATTAGGAATCAATGGCTATTACTCTAACATTACTACTTAGGAGCGACCGAGCTGAGGATATCAGATCTTTTAAAAACTCACTTTTTTAGAATTGCTTTTATGCGTCTTATTCTATGTATTTATATGTTTCTATTTTCTATGTGTGTCACCAGTGTTCTTCTGTTTAGACGCCATTTCATTCACTTGCTCTCTGTGGGTTAGGGTTAGTATGTGAAAGCAAAACAAGAAGTGTATTTATATTATTACTTTCCTAATTCCAGTGGATCGTAAAGGCTTTACTCTAGAAGCCGTGGTTCAATCCCACCTCGACACAGCCACACAAATTGCAGTTTTTCAGCGAACAGCGTTCACTCCAGGATCTGCCCTCTCTACTTCCCCATGCTGGAATACCACAGTGCATGCAGGCCTGTGATCTGCACTCAGATCAGTCAACATTTCCATTGTGCTGAGTGAGGAGCGCTCCTCTAAAACAAAAGCTCCTCTCACACTCAGGCCACCGGAGCAGATCTGTGTCCAGATCTCCGGCTTCTTGTGATACAGATCCGAGTGTGTGATTCATGATGTTCTCACACACTGACCACAGATCAGGTCCTGTCTCATATCAAAGCGCTGACAGCTGTCCACGGAGGACGGCTCGCTCACAAATCCCCTGACCTGTGAGCGGAGGAGATTAAAACAACACGTTACATGTCACCCTGACACCTCATAAAGCCGCGGCCGAGGGGCTAAAGACACAATGACACAGAATGAGAGCCTCAGTCCAACGCAGGCTGGGTGGTTTGTGCAAGAAGTCCACCAGGGGATACCCGGGGCAAACACAAACACATCATTTCAAAGGAAATTGAAGCGTTATGGGAAACCAAACACTAGTGAAGCAAAGCAGTCCTTTTATTCCGTGTTGTTTTACTTCCTGGTTCCTACGGTGTTGCCAAGAACTTTGCCAAAGAAAGACTTGGTGGGGACTTCCAAAAAAAAGGGATAAGAAAGAAAATACATGACTTCAACAATTAAGAATTTATATTTTATAACTCCCTCATGCCACTGCGATCTTTTGGAGGAGTTCTCTGCGACCGCCGACGCCAGAGAGTGACTCATTAATAGTTGATGCAGTAAACTACTCTGCGCTCAGTGACAGGAAGAGAGCAGCTCGTTTAGGAAAAAGCTTCTTGACCCCATATCAAAATATCAAAAGGTGTTTTTGCTGCTGCGGCCTGTGTGACCAGCTGTGGGTTGGTGCTCTGCAGGAGCTGTGGTGTGGAAGGAAAACACAACCATGGGAAAATCTGGATTTCTGTCAGAGCAATGTTGCAGATGATAGTCTGTTTTGTTTTGCTACTTTAAGGCGAGGAACCGGGTAAATATTGTTTGATTCAACGGTACATGTTGGAGTTATTAAGCTCCTTAACATGTCTTCTTACAGAAAAGTGGAGATCAATCATGCAAAACACACATAAGGGTGTTTTTGTTTCTAATGTTGTCTACCTGGGTCTGCAGGCGTGTCATAAATCCATCAGAAGTTAGCTTTAGATAACGCCTCAGTCGCATATTTCATCATTCAAACTTATCTTAATATCTACTTTCTAAAGGTTTATACAGAGGGGGTAGTTCATACATCGTTCATTGTCTATAAAGCATGTCAACAATTTTTTTTTTTTTTTTTTTTTTTTTTTTTTTAAATGGCTGTTGACAGTAATCTCCCCAGTAATAAAAACTGATATCTCAAACCTCACTGTACAAACGTTGACTCTAATATGTCAAGCAATGTTCTCAAAAAGCCTGCAAACTTGCACATATTTAATAAGATTGTTCCTTATTTGCATATTCAGACAAACAAACAAGAAGAATAAAAAGTATCAATGTGAGTGATCAACAAGGGAATGCACATTGCACCACGTTCACCTGGCGTGACTTTTTCTTTTTAAACATAACTATTTTTGCACACACCGTACTTCCTCCTCGACAGCAGGAAATACCTGCTATGCTTCAAAAGAGGCTTAAATCTCGCAACTGTTAGCCCTCGGAGATATTATTTTTGGCAGCTCTGTTACACCACAGCTTCCTTTTGGTCACGAGCCAAACACAATCAGCCCATCAATGAAAGTCTGTTTTCAATGAGATCTGAGTGCCGATAATTGATAGATCATTTTACAGAGAAGAAGTGTTGATGTGCAAATTCAGCCTCAGGGGTTATCAGGCAGGAATAAAACCTGTTCAAATGCAATCTGTGTGTGAGAGGACGGTGCGTGTGTGTGCGTGTGCGTGCGTGCGTGTGCGCGTGTGCATGTGTGTGTGGGGTTAACCAGGGGTCAAACTCACCTGTTTGGGTCGGTGAGGAGCCGTGGACAGATCTACCTGCGGACAGAAACACAGAAACGCAGGTTAGAGGGGTCAGTGTACACAGAAATGCAAACTTATGCGATTTGAGCTCAATTTGTCATGAGGATGTCTCCCTAACAGGTGTGGGCGGGAGGAATATTTCTGTAAACCTTACAGGAAGACAAGTTGTGGGGGTGCGAGGTGAAGTTATTTTCCACATGTCAATCTGCAGCATGAGAAACTCGAAGCGATTTGCGGCATTTGATTCTTATTTCCAGGACTGTCATGTCAGAGTAATTTAAGAAACGGATTACACGCATGCACAGAAACACCAACACAGCCGTCGTGATGGATGATTAAAAAAAAGCTCCCGTCAGCACATTCTTCTGCGGACGCGGCGCTGAGCATCTCCAGGAAGTCGTACAGGTGTTGAGGGATGAAGTAGTACAGTGCAAAACTCCAGTAAACACACACACACACACACACACCACACACACACACTGACTCATGCTAAAAGTGCTACCATATGACTTTGATTTTAGTTTTTAAAAAATGCTGCGCGGTTATCAAACAACCAGTCTCATTTCTTNGTGTGTGTGTGTGTGTGTGTGTGTGTGTGTGTGTGTGTGTGTGTGTGTGTGTGTTACAAACCCAGTAGTGCTCTGGTCCAGGCCCAGCCTCTGGAAGGATCTCTATCCTTCCAGAGGCTGGGCCTGGACCAGAGCACTACTGGGTTTGTAACACACACACACACACACACACACACACACACACACACACACACACACACACACACACACACACACACACACACACACACACACACACACACACTTTCTTGTACCATTCAGTTTATTTACAAATGTAACATTATAATGAATCAATGAAAGAATAAATATCTTGTTGTGTCACCTTACGACACACGCCTACAAATGCAAGATTCTAGGCAAAATGTAAACGTCTTGTAAACTCATTTTGCATGATTTGCTTTGAATTGGATGTTTCAGAGTTTGGCAGCTGACATGTTCTTTGTATTTGTGCAGGTCTCTGTGCAGAGGAGATCCATGTGTGTGGGGAACCTGCAGCCATTCACTTTATCAGAGAGCTGATGTTCACCACTGGAGAGGAGGTGGAGGTACGGCTGTAACATTTAGAACGACAGGAAGTGAGGAGGTCACTGATGTTGTTCACTGTTTTCTTTTTTTAATCATTGTCTTTTTGTAACCTCTTTCTTCCTCTTGCTCTTCAGGTCAACACCTACAAGCGTTTAACTCCATTTGAAATCTTGGATCATGCGGTGGAGTCATTAAACAACTTGAGACCAGGAGACTGCATTGTCTGCTTCAGTAAAAATGACATCTACTCCATAAGCAGACAGATTGAGGCCAGAGGACTGGAATGTGCTGTCATTTATGGGAGCTTACCTCCAGGTGGGTTCTGCTTCTCGTCCGGTGTGAATAAGGGTGTATTTTAGAAGGACTTATAGGTAGATGTATGTTTGTGTGTAAGGACAAAACACCTTTTGATGGCAAAGGGTTAGCTGTAAACGTAACGAAAAACCTTTTAATGAATGTGCTCTTCCATCCATGGAGCATCTGCCTGAAAGCGGTGTACCGTTTCTGTTATTTGGCTGCAGCTTGAACCCAAAATGTGTCCAGAAACAACCTGAAAATCAAAGAAATGCAACATTTATGTCATGCATGCACTCTACCAACCAGTATTTGAGCTTTTTGTGTGACTTTTCTGTGATTTACAGGCACCAAGCTGTCACAAGCCAAGAAGTTCAATGACCCTGATGACCCCTGCAAGATACTAGTTGCTACAGATGCTATTGGCATGGGCCTTAACCTGTAAGTACTATTATTTTATTCATCTTTATTTAACCAGAAAAGAACAACAACAATTAATTTGACTATCAAGTAAATGACAATAGCTATACTGTCCTTTGGTCCACCTTTCTTCTCTTCTTTCTCCAGGAGCATAAGACGTATCATCTTCAACAGTCTAATAAAGCCTAATGTAAACGAGAAAGGAGAGAAACAGATGGACACCATCAGCTCGTCACAAGCTCTGCAGATAGCTGGACGCGCAGGGAGGTCAGTCTCAATTCCACTTGTAGTGTTCAAATGTAGGACAGGGAAAGGGGTTGGAAACGTTTCAAGATTATTAAACAAGTTTCTATCAAGGGCTTTTTTAAACTCATGTCCTCTGTCACATTTCTTAGATTCGCCTCCATATATCAAGAGGGACAAGTTACCACCATGCACAGAGACGACCTGCCTGTTCTGAAAGAGATCCTCAGCCGCCCTGTAGAGCCCATACAGGTGATGAGTCACACACAAACACACACTTGTTTTCTTTCAGTAAACCCATAAAATTAAAAATTAAAAAGTATGGATTTTGATGGATGAAATCATTTCTCCTCTGTCTCAGACTGCAGGTCTGCATCCTACAGCAGAGCAGATAGAAATGTTTGCGTATCATCTGCCTGATGCTACCCTGTCCAACCTTGTTGTAAGTATTTCCATCTTTTCATATATTTATTCTCTGACATTTTGTGACAAATAAAAATTGCTATCTAGAATTGGTTATGTTTTGTTTTTGTGGTTTGGTTTATTACTTGCACACCGTAGCATTTTTCTCACAAACTGATACTTCTGCTTTGCCTTGCAGGACATTTTTGTCAGCCTGTCTCAGGTGGACGGCATGTATTTTGTCTGCAACATTGACGACTTCAAGTTCCTGGCTGATATGATTCAGCACATCCCACTCAACCTGAGGTCACGCTACGTCTTCTGCACTGCTCCCATCAACAAGAAACAACCTTTTGTATGCACCTCCTTCCTAAAGGTAAGGATGAGTAGACGGAAACATGGGAAAGAGAGGAGATTAAAGGAGGTCAATTGAGGGGGACAAGCCATTTTAGGATTAGGGCTGGGCGATAAATCTATATGGTAATATATCCTCTTAGAATAACATCTTATCACAATTAGTTCATATATGGAGATATCGTGATACACAATTAAATCACCTAAATTGATAGACATTAAAACTAGTGTCTTAGTTTCAACATATTTCCTTCCATTTGCTTGTCTTAAGCTTTTCATAGAATCCTACAGCGTCGTCCCTCTGACCTGGTTCTTGTTTCTCTTTCAGTTTGCCCGTCAGTTCAGTCGGGACGAGCCGCTGACGTACAACTGGGTCTCTCGCCACGTCAGCTGGCCTCTGTCTGCACCCAAAAACATAAAAGACCTCATTCACCTGGAAGCTGTTCACGATGTGTTCGATCTGTACCTCTGGTTAAGGTAACGCAGTGTTTTAAAGTATTTCCACCTCTTGTGAACCACGAAACACATTTTATTATATTTAAAGTCTCTGCTGTGATAAGTTGTTATAGTTGTGTATGTAATGTTTTTAGTGTTTGTTTTTGTGTAACTGCCCAGAGGCTGCAGATGGATATTAGCTAATAGCTAAATCTGGCATAAAGCCTCTTTGATTTTTTTCGTGCCTGGTCCTTCCTTAATAAAGATTTCTGTCTGTCTCTGTAGCTACCGTTTCATGGACATGTTCCCAGACACGGCAATGATTCGGGAATCCCAGCAGGAGCTTGATGACATCATAAAACAGGGCGTCCGAAACATCACCCTTCTCATCCGAGCCACCACCTCCATCACCGCCCCCCCGGGCAGCAGGCGGGGACAAAAGGGTGCTATTAGTGGAAGTGCCAGCGCTGCTAATGTGACCAATGTGACCAATAAAAGAGCTGAAAGAGGCCCTGTGGAAGAACTGATGGAAAGCTCTCTGGCTGGTCGTCTGGTGAGAGACGGGCTGTTGACTCCTGATTTGATCCGGCAGCTGCAGAGGGAGTGGTCAAAAAATCAAAAGCAGGAAGTCCCCAATCAGAGCGCGCTCGATAAAGATCACAGAGATAACACCAGGGTGAAAAATAAAAGGAAGAAGTAGTGAAGAAAACAGACGGGATCCTTGCTGCTCCTATGGAAAGGGATAATTGATACGAGCCTTTAATAATATCTGGAGGTTTGATTCAAATAAATCATGTTTTTCTGCCCTGGAGGTATCATTCAAGCTATTAAACATAAACATGTAGCTTGACAAGACCAGTGTTCATTCATAGTAATTTGGTATGGACTCCAGATTAATGGGTAATTACATGTTTTGCTTACATTTACCCATATAAAAGCTGTCATTGTATTCTCCCTTTTCACTGGGAGATTAAAATACATCACAGTGGAAGATCATTCAAAAGTGTCGAATTACCCAACAACAAACTTTACTGACATTTTACATTTCAATATTTGGATTTAGCGAAGAAACGTACCTGTTGTCACGCATTAATGTGGGAGATGTGATGTCCTGCCTGAGCTATCGGCCCACAACTAGAAGCTGACAACATTGTTTACCACAATGTTTTAATGGAGAGTCACTTGGTGTCGTAATGCTCTTTGAGAAGCATTGTGACCAAGAAACATTTTAACATGCACTGTGTGTATGAGTGTGTGTTGTGCAGGTCTGCAAAACGTTACTTTTGATTTCGATCTGTAAACTCAAATGTGAACCCTCGGAACGGCGTGATTATGTATGCAACCTAATTGAGCGGTGAAACTAATCTGAAATAAATGTATATTGAGTGCAGCCCTGTAAGTGTCCATATACAGATAAAATGCAATATTTTTTTCTTGTTTGTATATTTAAGATGAAAATATTAGTCAATTAAAAATGTACTGTTTTAACGGTCTTGATTTCATGTGTATGTTTTATTGAGCAGCTCAAACCTTGAGTAAATAATGCTAATGCATGATAAAAGAAAAGCAATTGGCATAATTCAATCAAGACTTTCACATGAGAACTTTCTAAAGGTCATGATGAGGAAACAAGGGCTCTAAAGAGATTCAATCAAATGTACCAATCAATTTGCAAAAGACAAAAGATGAGTTTATCAACAATGGGGACCATCTGAATTCATGACCTTATACCAAATAAGTTGGAATAACAAAACATGGATGTTCCTCTACAGAACGTAGGTACAAATCCCTTTAGATACTGCTTTACCCTTCTTTACCAATTTAAGTGGTCTTTTTAAAGCTTGTTCTAAATGTTTATTGTAGTTATGTTCAAGTGTCTAAACAATGTCTTGTGCACCCTTTCACACAGTTACACAAAATGCAGCCTTGATATAATTCAAATTTATTGTTTTTGGTGTAAGATAGAGGTATAACGTTATTTTTCAAATTATTATATTTTTTTATGTCAAAGTTATGGGGCCAAGCTTAAATTACACTTCCTCATTTTCATGACCTTTGCTGAGTTAAGTCATTGCTTATTTTTTGGTGTTGCAAGATTCCTTAGAACTTGGGTAGAGGTCTAATGTTGGACTGAAGATACAAGGAGACAGGGTTGGGCGGACAGACGGAGAGATAGAAGGGGTTTGGCCTGCTGTTAATGATTAAGTTAGAGTGGAGGCTCTGCTCAGTGGACTCAGTCAGTCACATCAAAACAAGTCTGCCAGGAGAGAAAAACAACAGACTAGTTCAACTTGTGCACAAACCGAACTGTGTTTTACTGTTTTTATTCAAGTGTGTGCAGTTGTTTTGCCCTCTGACAGAGGAACACAGACTCATTAACAAACCAAGTGGTGTGTGTTGCACGTCAAGATGTTTGCAGTTCACCTTTTTTTGTCCTTCTTCTCGAAACTCCAGGAGGACCCGACCAAGAAGGTAAGAGCTAGCTCACAACTAAACTTGTTTTTGTAGTTGCAGCACTAATGTAATCCCCTACAAAGAAAAATGTATGAAATTGAGAAAGATTGCTGATGTGTATTTAAACAGAATCCTCTCTTAAAAACAATCCCTCAATTTATAATATACACAATTCTCTAAATTCATATCCAAATTTATATTGCTATATCTGACATCTGACATGCATGTGCAACTCGGAGCAAGTCCACAAATACATTTCTTCTAAAATGTTAAATACTTCTCATGTATGGCTCTAATGTAGTGCTGCGTTATTCAAAGTGGAGCCTTCTGGCAGTATCATTATTATAAAGGGATCCAACTACTCCTGATATTGTATTAGATACTTGACCTATTGAGTGTTTGCAGACGTTCCTACATCTATCTTTACCAAATCCAAAAGATAAGAAGCTAGCTGTTGTTAAAGATGATCAAGGTTCCATAATCATTATTAGTTACTGTGTCACCATGTGTCCCTCCTGAGCAATGATTAACATCGTTCCCTGGCGGGCGGTGTCACTGCTCCTCTTAGTGCAGATGTGAACAAACAAACTCTCATGGACAAAGTGTTGAAAAAAACTCTGCACACATTCACACTTGTGATTACCAGAGTAACCTTGTGTTTTAAACATGGCACCACAGTGAGTCTAGCTGCTGACTGTACACATGTCTATGAGTATACAGGGTGGGACTTCTTGACTCATGCCCTTTTTTTTATAATTTCTTAAGCAATTTAATTTGAACACCCTTTGTTTCCTAGTCCCTAGTGGTAAATAGTCTCCTGCTTCTCCTTTAACATGTTCTTTCAAGCAGCAGGTCCTGGGATAAGTTACTGTAAACAACAAAATGACCTTTGAACTTTTGATACAAGAATAAAACCTGAGTCTAGCACATGCTGCAACAAACCTTGTGACCTTTGCCACATGCAAACCTTCAAGATAAAAGAAACATTTTGCTGATGATAGATCAATCCAGACCAAATCCTCACAATTATGAAGAAGATAAACCTTAAGTTTGAGGGTTGAAGAAAGAAGACTAAGTGAATGTCCAAAGTGTTTGTTTTCTATCTTGTCAACAAAATAAAGTAAGAACACATTAGTATGCCTCATTGCCTTTTGCTTTTGTTTGCTAACCACTCTGTTTCTGTCCTTACATGTTTTCTAGGTGGACAGGTTTATGTACGCCATGCATCTCCATGACGACCAGCTAAGCGACATCTCCGCTCGTTTCCAGGCTGAAATGAAGAAGGGCCTTTCAGCGGAAAGCAACGCTGCAGCAGCGGTGAAGATGCTGCCAACACACGTGCACTCCACTCCTGATGGATCAGGTAGCTCAAATTAAGAGTTTTCACACTTGTTTAGGTCAATTTGTTGTGAAGAAACATATTAACACACATACGGTACACTGATCATATATTTGTGCCTCTCTTCTCCACTCCTGCAGAGAAAGGACAGTTTCTGGCGTTGGATCTTGGAGGCTCCAAGTTTAAGGTGCTCCAAGTTAAAGTGAGAGAGGGCACGGGGGTCAGGGGAGAAGGAGTGGAGATGGAGGAGAAGACCTACCCCATACCTGAGGAGCTACTCACTGGGAGTGGAAAAGAGGTACGGAGGAGAGGAAACATGGAGGGTGAAGTGTCGAGAAATAAAAGAAAGGTTTAAATTGAGGGAACAGAACATGCTGAATAGGGGCTCCATGAATGTGAGGAGTGTTGGACCAGAATTACAAAAGGGGTTAAGAAGGGGGAAACAACAGAGGGGTCGTCTAAAATGTTACACATGCAAACCTTCTTCTGTCTGACTCTGTCTGCAGCTTTTTGACCACGTGTCAGAGTCTCTGAAGGACTTCCTGCATGAGAAGAAGATCAGTGTGGAGAAGAAACAGCCTCTGGCCCTCACCTTCTCTTTCCCCTGTGAACAATCCGCCTTAAATCAGGTACTTGCATCGGTTTTTCATGACCTGTACCTGTTCCCTTATTGCTATTTTCTTATAATGTTTTTTCTTCTCTGTAGGGATTATTGTTGAACTGGAGTAAAAACTTCCGGGCTCGAGGTGTTCAGGGTAAAGATGTGGTCCAGGCCCTCAGAGGGGCTGTAAACAGGACTGGGGTAAGATGGCTGTTTGAACTTTTTACCAAATGAATTGAGTCACATGTCTGCTTAGTGCTGACTGCTCATCCTTCAGCATACAAGATACTGCAGCTGATAGACGTTCATTTATACTCTGAAACTCCCTCTGCAGGGTATGGATGTAGAGGTGTTAGCCATGGTTAACGACACTGTAGCGACCATGATGACCTGCGGCTTTGATGACCGGTACTGTGAAGTAGGACTCATCGTTGGTGAGTTGATTCATTTCTAGAGTAAAGATTGAGGCTTGCAACACCTTTGGGTGCTGCTTCAGAGCTCATTTGTGTTTTTCACATGTGCAAAGCTATTCCTATTTCCAAGTACTGCTCCACAAAGTTGCATGTTTAGTTAAAGTAATGAATATGAGTATCCTGTGTGTTTAGGTAGTGGCACCAATGCATGCTATATGGAGGAACTGCATCACATTGACCTGGTGGAGGGGGACGAGGGCAGAATGTGTGTGAACACGGAGTGGGGGGCCTTCGGAGACGATGGCGCTCTGAATGATTACATCACAGAGTTTGACAGGGAAGT